TGTGCCCGCTGTCTCCATCTTGGCACCCAGCACAGGCTCTCCCACCAAACGGGCGGCGCCTCGAAGCGAGCGGCACATCTCAGCCAGGCGCTGGATGCAGCGGACCACCAAGCCTTCAGGGGTCCCTGAGAGTCCTGCCAACTCGGAGAAGGGCTAAGGGGAGAGCAGAGTGAAGACTGAATGTGCCGGGCCTGGGCAGTCTTTCCCAGCCAGCCACCTGCCAAAGCCAGGTACTTACCATACCCCGAGCCCACTCGTACACAACCTCCACCAGCCCAAAATTCAGCTCTCCCACAAATTCTTCCACTGTCTGGTTCAGGCCACAGGCCACCTGAACCTCACCAATCCGCTTCGCCACAGCTTTGACGCGCTCTACCCCCTGCAGACAGGAAGGCCTGATGAGGAAGAGGCATCTACCCGCGCTGGGCAGAGGGGTGGGGGTGGGCATGCCCCGCCAAGAGGGGTGTGATGGCCCCTACCTGTTTGAGGGTGCTCGGGAGCTGATCCCCAGGGTCGCCAGGGCTCTGGCAGACCAGGCCAGAGAGCAGGGCTGCAATCTCCTCGGGTCGCAGGGTGCTCAGTGCATTATCAAACATGAGCTCAGTGAGGAGCAGCTCATGGCTGCTCATGGCGCAGGCCACTCGCCCCGCCAGCTTCACTGTGCCCGCCTCATCCACATAGCCCAGGGTCCGGAGCACCTGCAACAAAGCGTGAGGGTTGGGGAGCCTGACCACTCTCTGAGCCCCCCTAAACTCACACGCCCCATCCTGCTCTTTCACCTCTACACGCTGGTGGTATTCGGGGAGCAGCAACAGTGACTGGTCGGACAGCAGGAAGCGCAGCCTCTCCATTTCCTTCTGGATCTGCATTCGCTCCCGAAGCTTCAGGTACTAAAGAGGGCCACACACAGCAGGGGCCATTAACAACCCCCTCACCCTCAGCAGGGGTGAACTGGGCACAGGGCTAAGGGAGGAGTACCCAGGTTACCGGGCACCAGGGAGAAGCTGCCTCTGCTTAGGCACTACCTGGGCAGGGAACCGGGGGCTGTGCACACACTGAGCCCCCCGGATCAGCTCCTCCAGCTTCCGGGCCCGGAGCCCACCTTCTACCACTGACACATCCTTGAGCTGCAGGTCGTTGACAGGGTCAAGGGTTGGGGGTCCTGATGGATGGGCCTGAGCCAGACGCAGCAGCTCCTGAACGGCAGTGGTCACAGCTGCAAGGGGAGGGTCCTTCCTGAAGGGGGAGTGGGTTCTGGACCAAGAGGCTTCTTTGCCACAGGAGCCTCCCCTCCAGCTGAGGGAGTCCCTCAGCTCCCCACTTCATGGTCTCTTTGTACATACACACCCACTGGGACATGCCCCTCCCTGGAAAAGGTTCCCCAAGTCTCTGACCTGAACTTTGGTTGCTGCCTCTTGGTGAAGTCCTCAACGATCTTCTCCCCGTTCACCCGGAGCACTTTGGTGGAGATGGCAGCCACATCTCCTGGCTGTAGCTTGGCCACAGTGTGCTCACAGGGCCCTAGAAATCCATCAGGTCAGAAGGCTTCGTTCGCCATGGCCCAGGCATCCTGTTCACACCACCATCAGGAACTCACCTTCCGGCAGGAACAGCTTGAAGCCCACAAGGTCATCTGGCTGGGGCACATCTGGAGTGGCTGGCCCCTTGTCCCGTGGGCTCTCAGACACAACCGGCTTGTCGCACAAGACCAGTGTTGTAAACACTCTGCTGGTGGAGTTTGAGGAGACCTGGAGGAGGAGGCACACCAAATGTGGGCAGGGCACGCTCACCCTGGACAGGGATTGGGGGCCCCCACTCCCCACGGGGCCCTTCAACTGTGGAGGGGTGGGTGGCCAAGCCAAGTCACTAGCGGAGTTTCTTGGGGGCCAGGCACGGAGACCGGCATAAAGTGGTGACAGGACCCTGAGCCAGGGGGAGACAGTGCCAAGCCTCCCACTGTCTGGGGGTGAGGACCCCTCTTGTCCTCACCTGCAGGATCACCCCCAAGGCATTGTGATGCTCCTTGTTCTTCACAACTACCACCCTTCCCGTGGACAGGGATTTCAGCCCATTCACTGACTCCATGATGCGCCACTGGAGACAGGGAGGGCACAAGTTTAGGAGCCCCGTGAGACTCGCTGCCCCTCCCGCCAGCCCTCCCCACATACTCACCTGGATCATGTTCCGCGTCTCCGTCAGCTCCTCCCCCCAGCTGTAATAATCAGGCAGGTCGGCCAGTTGGCCAGTCACGTCGGGCTCCTCCAAGGCCCCCAGCCGCTTGGTGAGTTCAGCCAGCGCCTGCTCATGGGCCTTTGTGGGGGCGGGGTTGTGACAAGTCTGCAAGCCCAGCCCGCTCTACTCGTGCCCCTCCCCCCACTGGCCATGCCCACTTCTTCTGGGTAGTTCTGACCTGCCTGCTGTGCTGGTTGCCCTGACCTCCTCACCTTGCTGTCCTTGCGGGATGGAAACTCCGAGAAGCTCCTCTTCATCATGTCCTCCACCCTGAGGGCATCCACCCGCAGCAGGTTGAGGATCATGGTGTATGTGAGGCGGAACTGGGACTGAAGCTGGGACGGTTTTCCCTGGGGCCAGAGAGGCAGTGAGACCAGGTGGGACCTGGGCTCCCTAGGCATCTTCTGGTCCTGGCTCTGCAGCCATGAGGCCTCAGACCAACCCCCTGCTCACCTCGGTAATGTAAGGGAACAAAATAAAAGACATGGGCTCCTGAAGGACCTTCTTGGGTGCCAAACCCACAGTGGCGGTAAAGCAAGAAGTGAGAGCCCTTGAACTTGCTCACTTTTTTGTTTTGTTGTTTTTCAAGACAGGGTTTCTCTGTGTAACAGCCCTGGCTGTCCTGGCACTTGCTCTGTAGACCAGGCTGGCCTCGAACTCCCAGAAATCCGCCTGCCTCTGACTCCCTGCACTGGGATTAAAGGCGTGCGCCACCACCGCCCAGCTGGACTGCTCACTTTTAACTTGACCTCTCCCAGGAAAATGAGGACATCAGAAGAGAGTGCTGGGCTAAAGGACTTGGCACTGAGTCACCCTGCTCACCATCATCATGCGGTGTAGGTCTGCCATCTCAGGCACTCGGCCCTTACAGAGCAGGATGACGGTGCCTGTGGGGTCCAGGCCCCTCCGGCCCGCCCGGCCTGCCATCTGTACATACTCCCCAGGCAGCAGGTCCCGGAAGGTAGAGCCATCGTGTTTGCGCATGGAGTCAAATACCACTGTCCTGGCTGGCATGTTTACCCCCATGGCGAAGGTCTCAGTAGCAAATAAGACCTGGAACAGAGGGGGAGGCTGGATCAGCCAAAAGGTCCTTTATATGCCCAGCTCTGGTGGAGCTCATCCCACCTTGGAGCCTCGTCTCAGAGACCCGTCTACAGGACTTCCCTGACCTCTCCAAAAGGACCCATAGTGCCTCAGAGACCCGTCTACAGAACTTCCCTGACCTCTCCAGGAGGACCCACAGTGTCTCAGACCCGTCTACAGGACTTCCCTGACCTCCCCAGGAGGACCCACAGTGCCTCAGAGACCCATCTACAGGACTTCCCTGACCTCTCCAGGAGGACCCACAGTGCCTCAGAGACCCATCTACAGGACTTCCCTGACCTCTCCAGGAGGACCCACAGTGCCTCAGAGACCCGTCTACAGGACTTCCCTGACCTCTCCAGGAGGACCCACAGTGCCGCCATTATCATTTTCGGCATTCTGCTTAAGCGGTCACCTGGTTCTTTAGCTCCCACATCCTATCTCCACCCCCAGCTGGAACTGTGTTTAACCAGACCTTGCGTGAGAACACTATGGCAGACTGCTCTGCTTTGTGCTTGTATGATTCAGCGCACACAAACGCAGCTGTACACCTGACTGTTTTCTACTTTCCACATCCATCCATGTTCTTGTAGCTTTACCAGTCATTGCTTGTGACTGAGGTAGGTGATGTGTCTCCGTGGGGGACACCCCCTACCTTTGCCTAGCCACTGCCCCAGTGGAGGGCACTCCGTTTCTCAGCCAGCCTTTCAACCCTGGTCTCCAGGAGCATGGGCTTGAGATCTGAACCTGTCATCATCAACAGGGCCATAGAGAGCAAAGCAAATTCGTATGTTCCCTCACAGACTAAGATAGAATTTATTTGCAGTCAATACCCAAGAACGACCCTTAGTGTCAGAAAGTATACTATATTTAGTTTGCTTAAACAATGCCAAGGCAGAAAAACAACAACAATACTTGGATAGCAAACAATGGCAGATTGTCAACAGCCTACATCTCTGGCCACATATGCAGTTAGCGAGCTTTTTGAATGAATGAAGCCACCCCTAACCATTGTACAGTTGTGTTTCCTGAAAGCATTTCAGTTTGCGTCCCTCTAATTATTAGTGGCTTTTCCTATGCTTGCCCACTGTGGAGGTTCCTCTTCTCAGAACCACTTGCATTAAAGGTTAAGGTGAGAAACCTAGAGTTCGGTAGGGTCACATGAAGCTGGATCCAGAACCCAGGTCCCTAACCACGGCACCGTCCTGCCTAAGCCTTGGCCCCTCTCCTCTCGCCCGCCACCTGCTCACCTTGACCAGCCCTCGGCTGAACAGCATCTCCACGATCTCCTTAAGGATGGGCAGGATGCCGCTGTGGTGCACACCCAGGCCCCGGCGGAGGAGCTCTGACATGTGCAGGACCTGCAGGGGAGAGGGAGGAGGCGAGGGCAGAGGTCAGAGAAGGTGTGGGCAGATCCCCTCAGCTGGGGCAGGTCTCAGGTCACCGCATCCCCACCCGTATCTACAAG